GATATTCTTATCTGTAGAATGATGTAGAAGATTTTGGCAAAGTAGTTTTTAAAATATGGCTTACTACTTTTATATATATATTAGTTTATTTTCATACTGCTGTAAAGAACTTTCTGAGGCTAGGTAATTTATGCATAATAGAGGTTTAATTGACTCACAGTTCCTCATGGCTGGGGAGGCCTCAGGACACTTACAATCGTGGCAAAAAGGGAAGCAGTCACATATTACATGACAGCAGCAAAGAGAAAGCATGTGAAGTAGGAACTGTCAAACACTTATAAATCCATTAGATCTCATAAGAACTCATTACTATCACACAAACAGAATGGGTGAAACTTCTCCTATGATCCAATCACCTTTCTCCCTCGACATGTGGGGATTACAATTTGAGAAAATTTGGGTAGGGACACAGAGCCAAACCATATCATTCCACCCCTGCCCCTCCCAAATCTCATGTCTTTTCACATTTCAAAACCAACCATACCTTCCCAACAGAAACAGAAATTTCTTCCACCAGATACCCTAAATCATCTCTCTCAACTTCAAAGTTCCCCAGTTATCTAGGGCAGGAGCAAAATGCCACCAGTCTATTTGATAAAGCATAGCAAGAGTCACCTTTGCTCCAGTTCCTGATAAATTCCTCATCTTAATCTGATGCCACCTCAGCCTGGAGTTTATTGTGCATGTCACTAACAAGATTTTGGTCAAAACCATCAACAAGTCTCTAGGAAGCTCCAAACTTTCTTACATCTTCCTGTCTTCTTCTGAGCTCTCCAAACTATTCCAACCTCTGCCCATTACCCAGTTCCAAAGTTTCTTCCACAATTTCAAGTATCTTTTTAACAGTACTCCACTCTCTGCAGTACCCTCTATTGTATTAGTTAATTTCATGCTGCTATAAAGAACTTCCCAAGATTGGGTAATTTTTGAAGAAAAGAGGTTTAATTGACTCACAGTTCCTCAGGGCTGGGGAGGCTTCAGGAAATTTACAACTATGGCAGAAGGGGAAGCAAGTACATACATCTTAAGGGCATCAGGCAAGAGCATGTGAAGGAGGAACCATCAAACACTTATAAAACCATCAGAGGCCATAAAAATTCACTACTATTATGATAACAGCATGGGAAAACCACCCTCATAATCCAATCACCTCCTTGTCTCAACACATAGGGATTATAGATCCCTTCCTCAAATTGTGGGGATTATAATTTGAAATAAGATTTGGGTAGGGAGACAGAGCCAAACCATATCAATATTCAAACGGTAATTTTGGATAAATGACTCCAGTTCTACTGTAGTTCAACTCCATCATAAAGCATTCCCTACATTCTGAGTGCATATATTGCCAACTACATGTTATCAACTAGAGCATATACATTGTAGTTTATAAAACAATTTATTTGTTTTGTGCATATGAGTCTTATTTTTCATGTTAGTTATGAGTAAGATTATGAGTTTCCTAAAGGCAAAGGTCTTTGAGATTTCTTTTTACTCCTCTTGACAAGGTAACCCATAGTACTTAGTGAAATGCTCAAAATATTTAAACAATCAATAAATGCCTCTTGATTGATTGGCCATTGACTGAGAGCCTGTCGGCTGTCTGCTATTTAGCTGCTGGCATTTTCTATGTATTTCCCTTCTAGCTTTGATGATGATGTTCATTCAACAGAGACAGATTTCTTTGCAAGTAATTATATTGCCTTTTAGATTCTCCTTGAAGGAAGAGTGGGTCATCTGTGTTAAAGACCTAGTATTAACACGAGAAACATGGGCTGAAAAAAAAGTTTCCTAATGACAAAATAAAATCTTTGAAGAGATCGCAGCAAATAATAATGGAGAAAGCAGTCCACAGGCAATGACACCTTTGGATCGCCTCATACCTAGTCAATCTTCTAATCATACGCTGTAGAATGCTAACCACAAAACAGACATACTGTGATTATCTGTAAACATTAGAGGATATAGCATCGAGTTGTATTGCCTCTACCAGGACTCTAAGCCGTAAACTTGTAAGTACATTAGAAGCCGACACTCTTAGCAGACTTTGCTGAATTGCTGGCAGCATCAACATCTGATCGATATGCATGTTCACCAGCCAAGCTGACTAGTACATCTGTTCTGTGAAGAAACATACATTCTGCCTCTAGTACAATCAGTGTAATTAAAAATTAACATGCATTAATTGTTAGAGCTGATGTAAACAGCTGATGTTCCACTTAGCACTGTCTTCTGTACATATCATTAGGCAAAGCCAAATATTGTTAAGTAAACAGGCAGCGCTTACAAAAAGGATGGAAATAGAAAACTAATTCCAACTAAATAAACTGACACTGTATTAAAAGTCAAATTAAAATGATTAACCAGAGCCAGATTAGGCTCTGGATCTTCAGAGGAAAACAATTATAAAAGTCACATTTAATTATTTGAATCTTATTTTGGTAAATGTATTAGGATCAGTCTGAATTAGAGTCAGTAAGTATATGCATGATACACTAGGATTTCAAATGAGTAGAAAAGAACTCTAGGAAAAGTATTATTCAGGATGATTTATGGCTGAAATATTCTGTGAGAATGCATCATTCACAGCCACTTCAGTAGCCAGTGTTCTCTGGGGAAACCCAAATCTGATGTTTAATGTTAAAAGGGGTCTATTTTCTTCTGCATACATCTGCATAACTACTGTCAGTGTTGATGGGAGTTTCAGGCACATACTGAGAAGAGAATATACACCTCACTACTTAAGTCTTGCCTAACTTTTTTTTTTTTTTACATAATGTCATAGCAAAATGATTTCTCCATCTTGATTCGAAACCAAGAAAAGAAAAAATAACCTCCGACAAGCAAATCTGTCCAGTGAGATGCACTCCAGCATAAGTTCACAGAGCAGTTCTGTAGTTACAGATTGCCTGGGGCATTCAGCTGTTTAGGGCCCCAGGCTCTTCCTCCCCTGCTGAGGTTTTCCCTGTAAATGACTTGCCTGTCACTCTCAAGTCCAACTTAAAAATAATGTGAATCTAAATTTGGAGAATGATTTCTTAGGTTATTTCCTCATGAAGTTTGACCAAGTTTCAAAGTACTGAAATCCCAATATATGTGATGTTTTTGAAAGAAAATAAAAATCACAGGGTTCCAGAGTCCAAGGGAGAAATGGATTTATCTAAAAATCACTAGGCAAAACATTGTTATACAATGGTATTCACACAGGTTCAACCCTTTTTGTTTTTTGTCATAATTATAGTCATTATGAAGAGAATAACTGTAAAAATGTTCTTAGCCTGTAGGCATGAAATAGTGAATCCTCCACTGTAAGTATATAGTAATTTAAGAAAGTGTCTACATTATTTATTCATAATTGTGTTGAATTTGAATATAAACTGAATTCATTCATGTATTAAAAGTTATAAACATGTTAAAACTACTCATAACAAAAAGCATCAGATGTGTCAAGAATCACAGGACTCAAAATGAAGTCTATAAAAGGTAAATAAGTTACGTCAGTGTAAGGCATGGATATAAAAGCTAGCTTATGAGCTTCTAAGTTTTCTGTTTGCTATTCAAAACCACCATCAATCTCCAAGCTTTAAACATAAAAGTTAAAAATTGGCAGTTATAGAATAACTGTTTTTGAAAATTTAAACTGAATTCCTAAAAGATATGATGATGACGATGATGATGATGAAAATGTCTGATACTTACAAAACAGTATTAATATTGTCTGTATTATCCCAGTTTGCAAAACTTCTGGCATGATAATAAATATATTTTTCTCTTTTTTAAGAAGAAAAAATCTATTAAAAATGCTGTTTATAAATGTCCATTTAACCAAAATAATTTGAAATGATGTTCTATTTAATTAAAAACTAAAAAATACCCAATGCATGGATTATTGATTAAGAAATAAGTATAATATGCATTCCATAGAACCTACATTAAATATTAAGTATTTCTTTGATTTTTTTCAATTATGCAGAAAATGTTGATGGTCTCATGGTGGCTTATACTCATGAAAATCTCTGAGCAGTAACTTAGGATATATTGTAGGTATCGATGGTTTATATCATTAGGATAAACTTTACATACATATGTGTGTACATATGTATGTAAAATTATATATGTATATACAATTGTATGCATATATAAATATGTAATTATATACAATGCATATATAAATTGTAAAAATATATATATATATACACATGTACACACACACACACACACACACAATAATTCTGGGAATTTCTGCCTAATTGCAGTTTCCTGTGAAACATCAGTGTATTCAGAAATTTCCTCAAAGAAGAAAGTGTGATTTTGTGATATCTTAAATCTCCTCCATTTTGTAGGAGACTTTCATAAATGTAGTAGCAACCAAATACATGATTTTCACAGAAAGGATTGAAGAGTAGAATATAAATATACAAAGAATATTTGTAGCTATAAAACTTCATTAATACTAGTGTTTCTTAGTTAATACTATTAGAATTGATTTATCTCTTGATTATTATCATTTTCTATGTTATTTTATTTTGGAACACTGTTTTCATTCTCTTTTTCTTTGTGGGAACAGGTCAAAGTCTGTTTTCACATTCTATTTTGCTTTCAAGTGATGGAATTTTCAGCAAATGCTACGTATAATTAACAGTTAAAAATACATTTGTACTCTAAAATGTTTTATAACATCTCAATCTACAAACAATTTTGCCAATGGAGTTTAAGAAAATAAAGTTAAGAAACTGATATTGGTATTTTTCTGTGTGCAATAAAGCACCGTCCAATGTCAATATCATACTTAATCATATTGTCTTTGTATTTATTTCAGAAAAAAAATAAAACTCATAGTTATATCTGAATCTTAGTATAATCAGTTAATGCTAAGGATTACTTTTTCTTGCTGTAGGATACATCAGACTTTCACTTTTCTTCTCCATTCCTTTATCTAAAACTACAAATATGATGTCTTATGAAACCGTAATTCCAAACAAAATAATGTATCTTCAGGCTACCAACATGGTAAAATATTAGCCCTCATGGGTTTGTCTTGAGTTTTTATTATTTACGAGTGATGGGACTAAATGGGAAGGATAATATGGGAAGTAGGTCCACCCAGTAGAAGAGTCCCAAGGCAGCACAGGATATTACATGGTGAGGAGAATAAGTGTACTAGCTCAGGCCTCTCTTCTTTTTCTTCTCACCTCTCCATTGTTTATATGTCTCAGGACACATAAACAATGGAGAGGTGAGAAGAAATTGAAGATATATTTTTATTGTTTTAGCATTTTGATTAGTCAACTAGAAATCAGGTAGCACTATTTATACTAAAGTGAGAGATTCTCTCTACTACTGTTAAAGTGACTCTCAAGATTCTTAAAGAAGCCAGAAGTCTTGAAACACCTGTTAATCTAGTTTGAAATCTCAGAGAAGTGCTTTCATTTATATTGCCCAATCAGCAAAGGATAGTGACATAGATGTGGTAAGAATAATGTTGAAAATAGGGAAATTGAAATTAAAATTCAACTTTCAGCCTTCTGTCACCCTGTAACAAAATTACTGTGCTCTGGAAAGATAAAAGCAACCAACCAAATGTAATTTGGCTCTTGAAGCTGCCCTCAAGTCCTGCTGTTTCTTGGTTGCTCTCTCTCAAATGCTCTACATTGTAGGGACCACAGGGTCTATTTCCTTCCTCCAATGCTCAATCTTCCCCTTACCTCTCAAGAGATGCCTCAGCTCCCAATTCATAGAATTTTTAAAAGCCAGGAAGTAAAAATTGCCTTAATATTCTGCCACTAAACCTATAAAATCACCTGCATCTTTATCCTACCTTCCTCCCTATTTTGTAAAAATAAAAGTGTTCTTCTTTTGCTAAGGTTATCATTTCTGCTGGCCTCCAGATTCTATCTACCCTTTGTGACTTCTCTGAGAATCTTCTCTACTCATTTTATGATCTCTCCTTCCTCATAACCACACTTCTGGTGAATGTTCTTTGACCGATAATGTCTCCAGTTTTCACCTCTTACTGATTCCTAAATGTCTTAGTTTGTTTTCTGTCATTTAAAACAAAGTACCTGAAACTACATAATGTGTGAAGGAAAGGAAATTATTTCTTGCAGTTATGAAGCCTTGGAAATCCAAGATCAAGGGGGCCACATCTGATGATGCCCTTATTGTTGGTAGGGAATCTCTGAAGAGTCCCAAGGCAGCACAGGATATTACATGATGAGGAGACTGAGTGTACTAGCTCAGGTCTCTCTTCCTTTTCTTCTGTAGCCATCATTCACACTCCCATCATAGCTCACTCTTCTATTAACCCAATAATCTCTGAATAGATTAATTCATTCCTCAGGGCAGAACCCTCATTACCCCATCATCTCTTTAAGGCCTCACCTTTCAATGTTTCCAGGTTGGGGATTAAGTTTCATCCCCAACAGGAGGAGACAAATATTCATAGCATTCAGCATTAGTTTGCATTTTCAGAGGAACAGATACCAAGAAAAGATTTAATGTGTATTAAATTATGTCTGGGAAAATACCTGCAAAAGAGGAAGAAGAGGGAGGATGAGTAGGTGAGGAAAGCTTTCACACTGTGATGAGGATCCCTGTGAAGGAGAGATTGAAGGAAGAAGGATTGGTTAGGAAGGGTCTCAGACAATAGCACAATTTTAAGATATTGTGTCCAGGAGATGGCACATGGAGTAAAATATTATTTTGGAGCTGTGAGATGTAATGTCTGCCTTGCTGGATTTCACAATTGCTTAGAGCCTGTTACTCCTTTCTTTCTGTTTATTTCTCCTTTTTGGGATAAGAATGTTTAATCTACACCTGTTCCGCCATTGTATTTTAGAAGTAGATGACTTGGCCTTTGGCTTTGTAGGCTTATAGTCGGAAAGAGTTTGCCTCAAGTCTTAGATGACGCTTTGGGCCTTTGTGTTGGTGCCAGACCAGATTAAGACTTTGGGGACTATTGGGATGGAATGATTACATCTTGCATGTAAAAAGGACATGATCTGTGGGGGGATCATGGAATGTTATGGTTTGGAGGTGCTTTATCTCTGCCAAAGTTCATATTGAAATTTAATTGCCAATATAACAGTGTTGGGAGGTAGAACATTTAAGAGGTGATTAGGCTGTTAAGATAGATTAATGTCTTTCTTGTGAGAATGGGTTACTTCCCACAAGATGAATTAATTCTCATAGGAATAGATTAGTCCTTGTGAGAGCTGGTTGTTATAAAACAGGTCAGCCTTCTTGTCCTGTCTGTCTCACATATGCTTTTTCTGTGTGATATCATCCACCATTTTATGATGCAATTAGGAGAGGCTGGCCAGACACCAGCACCATGCTTCCTGAACTACCAGTCTCCAGGACCATGCGCCAAAATAAAACTCTTTTCTTTACAGATTATGTGGTCTTGGGTATTCTGTTACAGCAATAGAAAATGGGCTGAGACACCCCCACTGTGTTCAGTCATTGGCTGTAGGCAGCCAATGGTAAATATGAACTCTGTTCCAACAGTGGTGAATCCAGAAGAACACCACCTGGAGCTATCATTCAGTTGTCTTCCTACAGCAGTATGTTTGAGTGGAATATCCTTTTGACAACATACTGAGCCTCCTACAGTTCATCAACAGTTATACCCCATCATTAAAATCATCTCATCAAGCTTCCAATTGATACAGTCAGTGAACTCTTTTTAGTCATAAATTTTATTGTCCTATCCACTGCATTTGACACTGCTGACACTCTCTTTAAAATTCTTTTCTCTTGACTTCTGTCACACTACATTTTTAATTTTTTTTTGTTAAAAATTTATATTTCTTATCGGTTTCCTCCTCTGAGAATTATAGTTAAAAATCCACATTTCATTGTTTCCAAAATTGTCAAGTGTCACTATTAGGCAGCAAGGTAAAGTTACAAATGTAAAGTTTAGCATTGTTTTAATTTTTACATCTTCCTCTGTCACCATTCATACTATACTTAATTGGCACAATGCTTACCATTCTGCCCCTCAAATCTCTCAAATCCATTTATTCCCCTCCATCTGCATGTGCTTACCAAAACAACAAAACACTTTTTCTCACACTTGGATTATTGCTAAATACATCTTACACTAGTTTCTTTGTCATGAGTCTATTCACAGTACAGACTGGGTGATCTTGCTAAAATTTAAATCTGATAAATATCAGTATCTTGTTAAAAACTCTTCAAGGTCCTTGAGATAATTTTCAAACTGCTTAATATGGTACTGAAGGCTCTTTAAGAGCTGGCTCCTGCCTACCCTTTCATCCTTACCTTTGCCACTTCCTGTTAGACTCTGTGTTGAAGTTAAAGAATACTTTCTTAAAAGTTGCTCCTCTATGCAATGCCCTTTTTTTTTTTTTCGGTCTGGCTGGATGTTTTTTCCTGTAATTTTTCTCCTGACCAACTTTTGTCCTTTTTTCAGTAAACATTTTGGAAACTTTTCCAAAATTTGGCACCTGTTCTACATTATCTGAAAGTATCCTCTTCTGTTACAACTGTACAGCAGTCCTCCCTTATTGGCCAGGAATGCATTTCAAGGCTCACAGTGGATGCTTGAAACCTGGATGACACAAAACCCTATACATATTATGTTTATATATATATATATACTTACACATGTATATATATACACCAAGTATCTATGATAAATTTTATTTTATAAATTAGGCAGAGTAAGAGATTAACAACAATTAATAATTAAATAGAATAATTATAAAAAATGTTGTAATAAAAGTTATGTGAATATGGTCTCTCTCCCTCTCTCTCTAAATATCTATTATTGAATTCATCCTTCTTCATGTAATGATGTGAAATGATAAAGTAGCTACATAATGACATGAAGTGAAGTGAATGACAGCGGCATTGTCTGTCACATAGTGTTAGACCACTCTTGACTTTCTGATGATACGTCAGAAGGAGGATAATCTGCTCTGGGTGATCCTGAATTATTGAGCTCTGACAATGTTGGCTGGATGTCAGGAGCAGATGATATTAACCAACTGGGAGGTAATGTATATAGTGTGGATATGCTGGACAAAGGGATAATTCATGTTCCAGGTGGGAGATAGTGGGATGGTAAGACATTTCATCATGCTATTCCAAATGGCTGAATTTAAAACTTTGAATTATTTCTGGAATTTTCCATTTAATGTATTCAGACCACAGTTAACTGCAGGTAACTGAAACCTCAGGTGAAACCGTGGATAAAGGGGCCTACTATATTGTCACTGACCCATTTCCTTTGCTAGCGATAGGATCCATGAACATTGGAGTCACATCTGTTCTATGTGTTATAATGCTTGAGACATGGTAGATAGTCGATCAATATCCCCATTGTGCATTTTAGCAATATAGCCTTGGAAATAACATCTTTCTTTCATGTTTCTCAACAAGCATATATTTAATAATTTGATCTGGAAATTAGAAGAGCTGATTTGGAGCCTTTATTCTACTATTAATTATGTATGAAGTCTTGAGTTAATCGCTCCAGACTTCAATTTCTTCATATCAGGATGTCCCCTGCAAGTGAGTGATGTCCTTCATTGAGTTTTTATCAGAAAAATGTTACATTTCACTCACTGAATTAGATGACCTTCAAGATCCTTTCCAGTTCAAAACATATTTCCACTGGGGCTACAAACTATTAATTTGAGGTAGAAGGCAAGTGTACAATTCTATTAGTATTTAATTTTTACATAGCCTTCTTTTTTTAATACAACACTTAGTAATTTCTCTCTCTATTTCTAGTTAACCTCATGCCAACAGGTTGTGTCTCTGTTCCTTTAGCTGCAGTTCCCAACTCTTCTCAGTTATCTAGCTTACACTTACTGACTAATGTTCTAAAGGTCTGTCTATGGTGTCTTAGCTTCTCTCTTCCTCAGTTTCCTTTTCTGAGAAATGGTTATAGTAAAAATACCTATAAAATTTTTTATGAATAATTAAATGAGTTTATTTTCTCAAAGTGCCTGGCACACAGTAAGATTTATATAATGCTATCAATTA